GTGGCTCACGCCTGTAATCCCAGCACTCTGGGAGGCTGCGGTGGGAGGATGCCTTGAGGCCAGGAGTTCTAGACCAGCCTGAGAAACATAGCAACACTCTGTCTCTACAAAAAATTTAAAAATTAGTTGGGAGTGTTGGCATGCGCCTGTAGTCCCAGCTACTCAGCAGGCTGAGGCGGGAGGATCGATTGAGCCCAGGAGTTCGAGGTTGTAGTGAGCTATGATGACACCACTGCACTCCAGCCTGGGGTGACAGAGCAAGACCCTGTCTCTTAAAAAAGAAAGAAAGATGCATGTGCCCAGCACATGGCAAAGGGTCAATAAACAGTACTAAACTGTTCTTATTGTTATCTTGCAACATTGTTGCAAAGATTCCGCAACGTCCCCTTGTGCAGGCTTAGATCTGGCTCAATTATCAGAAACCATTAGTAGTTGCTGTTCCCCTTCCTGCGTCCCCACCCAGCTAATGTTAATGAGAGCTAATGGAACCCATCAGATGATAATACCAATGTTCCCTCTTCCCTGAAAGCCCACAAGGCCAGGCCTTGAGCCAAACCTTTGCCCAGTGCCCCTCTCTGCACTTGTAATTCCATCTCACCTAGGGGTAACTCAAGTTCACCCAGCAAGGTCATGGCCCAGGTATCCCACTCATGACACCAAACCTACAGGGTGAATCGTTTCCTGAGATAGCTGAGACTTCCCCATGTGCCCTCCCCTCCCCAGGTCTGGGATGCTGCTCAAATACTGTCAGTGGCTCCCACCTATGCATCAAACTTGTTTTGGAGATGGTGGTCCATCCTGGGTGATGGCAAACTGCTTCCCCTCTCTGAGCCTCAGTTTCCTGTGCTGTACAATGGGTTGATGATACAGCCTCTAGGATGGTGGAGAGGGTCCGAAAGGTGATGAGTTCTCTTCACTCAGCACTGGCTGTTTTTACATAGCTACTCCCACTCTGCCAGTCTGCCTGCTGTGCCAGCTGATTCCAGAAACTTCTGGTACTCCCTTAGCTCTCTTCCCACTCACCTTACTGGTCTCAACACCTATCAGATGGCAGAAATATTCTCCTGTGTTGTTCCCTCATATTTTTTTTTTTTTTTGAGACAGAGTCTCGCTCTGTCACCCCTGCTAGAGTACAGTGGCGTCATCATAGCTCACTGTAGCCTTGAAATCCTGGGCTCAAGCGATCCTCTTGCTTCAGCCACCTGAGTAGCTGGGAGTACAGGCATGAGCTACCACACCCGGCTTCTTCCCCTCATACCTATAATACTTTTCAGTTGTTGTATATTTGCATGATTAATACATATGGAATTTATTCTGCTATGGGTTGGGGGGGATGATGTTTATTTGTTTCAAAATGCACTGTTAGCACCACTGAATGAATAGTCTATCCTTTCCCTGCAGACTGAAAATTCCACATTTATCAGGTGTTAAATTCTTTTAAGTATAAAATTCACGAATTAATTTTAAGTATGAAACTCACATGGAAAACTCTATGCTACGTTTTTATTTTTAGTGTTTCCTCTATGTACACAGATTAGGTATTGTGGTTATTCATTCAACAAACACTTATTGCGTCCCTCTTTTGTGCCAGGCACTAGGCTGGGTGCTGGGGACACAGGCATGGACGGACAATTAGCAACCGATATGTAAATGTGTAACCTGTCAGATGGTGATAAGGGACAAAATTTAAAGCCAGGACTTGCTTCAGCCACACATGTACTAAAATTGGAACAAAAAAGAGGAGATTAGCATGGCCCCTGTGCAAGGATGATGTGAAAATTTGTGAAGCGTTTCATATTAAAATAAAAAAAAATTTTTAAAAAGTAAGACCAGGTGCATTGGCTCACACTTGTATTCCCAGTACTTTAGGAGGCCAAGCTGGGAGGATCACTTGAGGCCATGAGTTCAAAACAGGCCTGGGCAACTTAGTGAGACCCCTGGCTCTACAAAAAGTTAAAAAAAAAAATTTTTTAAAAAGGAACAAAATTTAAAAGGTAATGGAGAGTCCAGGTGAGGTAGCTCATGCCTGTAATGCTAGCAGTCTGGGAGGCTGACGGAGGATTGCTTGAGGTCAGGAGTTTGAGACCAGCCTGAGCAAGAGTAAGACCCCGTCTCTATCAAAAATAGAAAAAACTAGCCAGGTGTCGTCGTGGCACATGCCTGTAGTCCCAGCTACTCAGGAGGCTGAAGCAGGAAGGTCCCTTGAGCCCAGGAGTTTGAGGCTGCAGTGAGCTATGATGACACCACTGCACTCTACCTGGGGCAACAGAGGGAGACTCTGTCTCAAAATAAATAAATAATTAAAAGGTAATGGGGAGCCAGGCACCGTGGTGCATGTCTGTAGCCCCAGCTACTCAGAGGGATTTTTAAGCCCAGGAGTTTGAGTCCAGACTCGACAATATAGCAAGACCCTATCCCCCCAAAAGAACAAAGTAATGGGATAAAGAGGAAAGGGGTGCTATTTTAGATGAGGTGGTCAGAGAAAGCCTCTTTGAGGAAGTGATATTTCAGGAGAGGCCTGAAGGAGCTGGGGCCACATGCATGTCTGAGAGAAGAGCTTTCTAAGCAGAACAGCTAGTGCAAAGGCCCTGTGGTGGGATGGTGCCTGGTGAGTTTATGGTAGCCAGGAGGCCAGTGAGGTTGGAATAGAACAAGCCCAGGGGAGACAGGAAGCAGGTGAGGGCTGGGAGATGGCAGGGCAGATCACGCAGGGCCTTGTGGGCCATGGGGAAGAGTTGGGCTTTTTCCCGCGAGTGAGATGGGAGCCATAGAGGAATGTGGGCAGGGGAAGGACTTGCCCTGACTTAGGTTTGCACAGGCGCCTCTGGTTGCCGTGGGGAGGAGAGAAGGCGCCCACACTGGTCCAGACAGATGACAGGGCTGTGTGACAAGGGTTGGGGCTGGGCAGGGGGTGAGAAGAGGTGGATTCTGGGTAGATCAAAGGCACAGCGGATGGGAAGCAGAGAGGCACCCTGGGTTCCTGGCCTGTGCACCTGGGAGGACAGAGCTGTTGTTACTGAATCATGGGGACATTCAGGAGCTTGGATGTGGCCATACTGAGTATGAGGTGCCACACAGGGTGGGGGAAGGCAAGTGTCACATGGGCGTGGGTATGCAGCTCAGGGGCACGGCCCTTGTGAGAGTGGTCAGTGTAGAGCTGGTCGCTGGTCGCTGAGTGTGCACGAGTGTCCCCGGGGGACCCCGTGTAGCCGGGAAGAGAAGTGGCTCATGGCCTGGGCCCAGACCCACAGTCTGGCCACTGCTTGGACTGGGTGGGGTGGAACCAGCGGCACTTTGGGCTGGCAGGAACCACAGGGCTTCTTTGGGAGTCGTGGTCACTCAAGGGCGTGGCTTGGAGCCTCAGGCCTCACCTGTTTGCTGAAGTCTGTGGCCCAGGTGGGGCCCCTCAGCTGGAGGCCACGCTGGGGAGAGGGAATTTCTCCAGGGACAAGCCGAGTTAGTGACCAGAACCCAGCCTGGGGAGTGCCAGACTCTGAGGCAACAGGTACAATTATTGAACTCCAACTGTATATGACTAGGCAGATTGTATAACCTCCATGCTGGCTGTATATCCCCCACCCCATCCAACTGCGTCAGGCCACGTTAGCCATATAGCCAGCTGTGCTGTAAGGTATACAGCTGGCCTAAAGTGGAGAGATACAATAAGAGCGGGCATAGTTTGCAAGGGAGTATACAGTTGGCATGTGGGTGGATGGTTATTGTGGGGGTGTATAGCAGGCATGGGGCAAGTACAGCCAGCTGTGTGTACTGTGTGGTTGTATACCCCCATGGTATACCTCCACAGTGGCTGTACACTGACGCCAGCTGTATACCCTCACCCCTACTGAACACACCCACATGGATTAAACACCCCTACAGCAACTGTATACCTCCCTGTTGACTGTGCCTCCACACTGACTGTATGCCCCATACTGGCGGCACCCCCACACCTACCATGCACCTCCACACCTACCATGCACCCCCACATCAATCGAACACCCCAACACTGACCATGCACTACACCCATGGCCAACTGTTAGCTGCAGTGCTAACTGTATACTCCCTGGTATTCCACGTTAGATCTTTGAGGATCAGCTTTGCTTTTATACCTTAGCCCCAATTCCCAGTCGGGGAAACTGAGGCTCAGGGAAGAGAAGGCATTGGGGAGTGCCCTCCAATTCAGAGGCGACAGAAGAAACATTTGAATCCAGGGCCCCTCAGGAGGATGCGGGCTGCTCCAGGGCAGGGATTGAGTCAGTTTCTCTCTGTGCCTGGGCCCCAGCCCCAGACCCGCACCCACTGTCAGCTAAGTAAACGCAAATACATTGTTCTACCAAACAAAGGCTTCGGGATTAAGGAGATTGAGAGAAGGTACCCGGGACAGCAGCTCTGGCGTGTGTGGGTGGCCCACTAAGGTACCAGACCGGGGCAGTTCCAGGCAGGGGGGGCTGCCAGCCCCATTTTTTTAAGTTTTCAAGAGAGTGAAGATGTAGATTTTTTGATGGACTCTCCCACTGTTGAACTATTGGCAATTATTATTATTATTTTTAAATGCAACACACCGAAATAAAACACATCCACGGCTCTGGCTCGGGTTTGGGAGTTTTCAGCCCAAATATTCCACAGTTGGTTGTTTGGGCTCCTCCTTCTGCTGGTTATTCGTCTCCCTGTGCCTCAGTTTCCCCAACCGCAGAACAGGGCGCTAGAGGCGCCCTTTCAGGGTTGGGAGGTGTTCCAAGCGGTGTCGCCTGCGCCGGGTGGGTGGCCCAGGTCAGAGGACGCAGCCGCTGGTGGGTTCCCGGGGTGGGGGCGGGGCGGGCTAAATCGGGGCGGCCCGTGAGTGGCGGGAGCAGCTGCCGCCCCGCCCGGCGCCCTCCCCTGTCCCTCGATCCTGGGCAGCGGCCCAGCTCCCCAGCTCCGGCCGGTCTGACCGGTTTGGGCCGCCCCGCCTGGCTCTGGGCTGGGAGGAGCCGTCGCCAGCCCGGCGGTGCGTGGATCCCTCGGGGACGCCGGCGGGTCCAGACCCGGGGACCAGAGCTGGGACCGAGAGGGCGCCCGCGGGAATGGGGGCCGAGCGGCAGCATTACTACGGGAAGCTCGGTGGGTAGGACGGCCCCGGCTGGCCACGCGCGAGGACCTGGGGCGCAGGGAACCGGGACAAGCGGGTGCTCTGCCCTGGACCCCCCACCGTCACCCGCCAGCCCCAGATCTCCCCCGGAACCGCCTCTCAGACCCTCCTTCTCACGCCCTCACCCCAACGATCTGCCCCCGTCTCCCCTGCCCGGCACTCCTGGGGGACCCCCCTGCCCCGTATCCCCGGGCCCTACCTCGGACCTTCCCCCTCCTCCGCCTGGATCCCCGGTGGCCGCCATTCCCGCCCTCTTCCCAGCGGTGGCCGCCAGGTGATAAATCTGTTCCCAATTAATGACTCCTCTCTCTCGCCTGTCCCAGCCGGCACCAACTGGAGGCGTGAGTGTGGTCCCCTGCGGGTGGGTGACACCAAATCTGCAGGGTGTCCGAATTTTACTCTTGCCTGGCAAAGACACCCCTAGGGGTTTCTGAAAAAGTCGGGGGGTGGTCCTGCCTTGTCTTGGTTCAGCTTTTCTGCACAACTTAAATCTTACTAACTTTCAGGAACGCCACAGAAGTATGACCCCACCTTCAAAGGACCCATTTACAACAGGTAATGGCTCAGGGTGTTTTTTTGGGGGGCAGGGGAGGGGGTCTCCCTGCTAATCCTGCCCTAACCACTGTTTCTTCAGACACACACCCCTGTGTCCTCCGACAGCCTGGTGATAAACGTTTGCAACTTGACAATTCAAAGAAAACTCAAAAACTAATTTCCTTAATATGCCGAGAGTTCTTACAAATGAGTTTTTAAAATGGGCAGAAGACTGGAACAGATCTTTATAGAACAAGAAATTCTGCAGGCAATGAACTTATGAAAAGATGTTCAACCTTTATAAAAAGTAAAGGAATGTAATTTAAAACAATAGCCAAATAGAATGTCCCCATCGCAGCTTAGCAAAGATTTTAAAAGATTGATATATTCTGCTCTGAAACTAATCTTTTGAGGTAGGGAATTTGGAAATGTGAAATTTATTTAATGTGCATCTATTTGTTCCAAAATTTTAATTCTAGGGAAAAATTTTTCCCAATAAATCTTGTACAAATGGACAAAAATGTAAGATGTTACTGTCATTTTTAAAAATGGCAAAAAATTTGGGACAGTGGCTGACCCCTGTAATCTCAGCATTTTGGGAGGCCGAGGCAGGAGGATCACTTGGGGCCAGGAGTTTGAGACCAGCCTGGGCAACATAGAGAGATCCTGTCTCTACCAAAAAATAAATTAAAATGGCAAAACCCAACCATCTGAATGTCTATCCATTGGACGTATTACATAGCACTCTTGGAGGCCAAGGCAGGAGGATTGCTTGAGGTCAGGAGTTTGAAACCAGCCTGAGCAAAAGGAAGACCCCATCTCTACTAAAAATAGAAAAAATTAGCTGGGCATGGTGGTGCACACCTGTAGTCCCAGCTACTCAGAAGGCTGAGGCAGGAGGATCACTTGGACCCAGGAGTTTGAGATTGCTGTGAGCTAGGCTGATGCCATGGCACTCTATCCCAGGTGACAGAGTAAGACTCTGTCTCAAAATAAAAAAAAAAAGGGAAGAAACAGAACAATGGGTGTATCATAACAATTGAATTAACTAAAGAAAATTCTTTTGGAAAATATTTGTACCTAATAAATAACACAAGAAAATTATTAACAGTGGTCATTTATTGAAAGAATAGTTAAGGAGAGAGACTTGTTTCTTTATTGTATACATGCCTGCATGGTTTTCGTTTTTACCATGTTCATATTTAATCTTATGATAAGAAAAATAGTTTGAATTTCTTTAAAATGTTGATACATAGCTGGGTGTGGTGGTATGTGCCTGTAGTCCCAGCTACTTGGGAGGCTGAGGCAGGAGGATCTCTTGAGTCCAGGAGTTCGACGAAGTTCAGTGAGCTGTGATTGCACCACTGCACCCCAGCCCAGGTGACAGAGCAAGACCCTGTCTCTTAAAAAAAAAAAAAAGCCAGGCGTGCTGACTCATGCCTGTAATCCCAGCCATTTGGGAGGTAGGATTGCTTGAGGCCAAGAGTTTGAGACCAGCTTGAGCAAGATAGCAAGGCCCCTGTCTCTACAAAAAATAAAGAAAATTTAGCCAGGCGTGGGTGGTGGCATGCACCTGTAGTCCCAGCTGCTTGGGAGGCTGAGGCAGGAGGATCACTGATGCCCAGGCATTGGAGGCTGCAGTGAGCTATGATTGCACCCCTGCACTCCAGCCTGGGTGACAGAGCAAACTTGTCTCTAAAAAAATGAAAAGGCCCAAACTACTCAGGAAAAGGTGTGCAAACAACGCACGGATGTGAATATGTTTGGAAGGCAGGATGGGCTGTGACACCCACAGCAACAAGGCTGTCACCCTGACGCTGCCTCTCTGCTCCCCAGGGGCTGCACGGACGTCATCTGCTGTGTGTTCCTCCTCCTGGCCATTGTGGGCTATGTGGCTGTGGGCATCATAGGTGAGTAGGACTTGGGGTTCCAGGGTAGGAGGTGGCAGCCACGGCCTTTGTGGCAGGGGTGGGGCTGGTGCTTAAGAGTGTCAGTGCTTGAGCACCTCTGGGTCCCTCCACAGCCTGGACCCATGGGGACCCTCGAAAAGTGATCTACCCCACTGATAGTCGAGGCGAGTTCTGCGGGCAGAAGGGCACGAAAAATGCGTGAGTCCAACTCCTTGGGGCCCTGGTGGGGCTGAAGAAGGTTCTAGGCTTTCCCCATCTCCACCCATCCAAGAGACCAATCAACAAGTAGTTTAAACTTCCCACCACCGCTCTTCTAGGCCTTGGGGACACAGCACTAAATGAGACAGTAAGCATCCTGTCCTCTGGCGGCTCACATTTTAAGGGAGACACAGAGAGGAGACAGATCTGATGTCAGGTGGTGATGAGCAGATTGAGTTCAATCTGGGTGGTGTCACTCCCTGGCTGTGTGACATAGGGCAAGTGTCTCAACTTCTCTGGGCCTCACTTTTCCTTCCCTCTAAAATGAGGATCCCCCTGCATAGTGGTTCACACCTATAATGCCAGCACTTTGTGAGGCTGAGGTAGGAGGATCACTTGAAGCCAGGAGTTCAGCCAGGAGACCAGCCTGGGAAACACAGCAAGACCCCATCTCTACAAAAACATTAAAAATTAAAAAATTAGCTTAGAACAGTACCCGGCATGGAATGGCTGCTGCTACAGTTTTTATTATTGTGGTTGTTTTGTTGTTTTCATTAAGATATTTTATGTAGGGTGATTAAGAAGTCTTGACAATTTCCATCTTCCTTCTCCAACCCCAGGAACAAGCCCTACCTGTTTTATTTCAACATTGTGAAGTGTGCCAGCCCCCTGGTCCTGCTGGAATTCCAGTGTCCCACCCCGCAGGTAACGTGTCCCCCTCCCCGCTTTGTGTCTCTTTCCCCCGTGAGTGCGGGGTGGGACCTCTGTCCTGCCTCACCCATTCCTTCCTTCCGCCCTCCCAGATCTGCGTGGAGAAATGCCCGGACCGCTACCTCACCTACCTGAACGCGCGCAACTCCCGCGACTTTGAGTACTACAAGCAGTTCTGTGTTCCTGGCTTCCAGAACAATAAGGTGAGCGGTAGGCTGCCCCGGGAGCCCAGGCAGGGGTCATGGGTGGGTGCTGGCCAGGGCGACTCGTCTCCCTCCCTCTCTCTCGGCAGGGTGTGGCCGAGGTACTTCGCGATGGCGACTGCCCGGCTGTCCTCACCCCCAGCAAACCCTGTGAGTCAGGGGTCCCGTGAAGCTCGGGTGTGGGGACAAGGGAGGGTCTGCCGGGGCTCAGCCTGACTGATGCGATCCCCTGCTCCACGCAGTGGCCCGGCGATGCTTCCCCGCCATCCACGCCCACAAAGGGGTCCTTATGGTGGGCAACGAGACGACGTATGAGGATGGACACGGCTCTCGGAAGAACATCACAGAGCTGGTGGAGGGGGCCAAGTAAGGACCTCGGCCCTGTCCCTCCACAGGGGGAACAGGGCATCCCTGGGGCTGGTCTGATCAAGGAGGGGGTCTGACCTGGGCCTTGTCCCCCGTCCCCCAGGAAAGCTAATGGGGTCCTGGAGGCGCGACAGCTGGCCATGCGGATATTTGAAGATTACACCGTCTCTTGGTACTGGATTGTCATGTAAGTGGGAGGAAAGGGGGCTCTCCTCTGGTTGTCCCCTCTGAAGCTGGTGGGGTAGAGTCTGCCCCATGCCTGTTTTGTCCCCCAGAGGCCTGGTCATCGCCATGGTGTTGAGCCTCCTGTTCATCATCCTGCTCCGCTTCCTGGCTGGCATTATGGTCTGGGTGATGATCGTCATGGTGATTCTGGTGCTGGGCTACGGTAAGTCCCCACCTCCCTGTGACCTCCCCTTCCCAGGGTCAGCAAACTGCCCAGCGTTTCCAGAATTTTCTCCTAAGCCATCAGATATTTTCCATCTTCTCCTTGGCATATTTGGGAAGATGTTTGTCTCAGTGTTTACAAGATTAGAGGCTTAGAAACAGCTTCAGTGCCCATCAGTGGGGGATGGGTTAAGTTAGGCTCTCTGGAACCTTCTACATCAGGACCTAGATCTGTATATTATTGACAGCAAAAAGCATTCTCAGGAAGGCTACTTAGGCCCAATGTGGTGGCTCATGCCTGTAATCCCAGCACTTTGGGAGGCCAAGGAGGGGAGGATCGCTTGGGGCCAGGAGTTCGAGACCAGCCTGAGCAACATAGCAAGACCCCATCTCTACAAAAAAAATAGTTAACCATGCATGGTGGCACATGCCTGTAGTCCCAGCTACTTGGGAGGCTGAGGCAGGAGGATCCCTTGAGCCCAGGAGTTTGAGGTTGCAGTGAGCTATGATCACACCAATGCATTCTGTTTAGACCAACTCTGTCTCTCAAAAAAAAGAAGAAAAAAAAAAAAAAGAAAGAAAGCTACTAAGCACAGTGGTTAAGGATGCACACTCTGGCACCCGAATGCTGGGGGTTTAAATCCTCCTGGCTCTGCAATTTCTTGCTTTGAGACCTTGGGCAAATGACTCAATCTCACTGTGCCTCAATTTCTTCCTCTATAAATGGGGATAATTATTATTTGCAAGTTGGTGAGCTTAATGACAAGGAGATAGTGTGAGGATAAAATCAGGGTAGGGGCCTGTTTATCTCAGGCCTGTAGAATTCAGAGGCACAAAGCTCAAAAACAGTGCTTCCTGTCTTGATCATTCATTTAAACATTTCAGGAAGGAAAATACTTGGCAAACTAATCTGAGGACGCAGGTATCAAAGTATTTACATGAATAGTAGTTTCTAACTGGGTGCTGGCATTTTAGGTGACTTGATTATTTTTTTTTACTTTATCTGTATTTTCCAGTTTTATTTTACAAGCTAAGAGGAATGCTGAAAGTCCCTAAGGCGATTCCGCTGCATGTTCACATCCAGGCTGCCCCTGTGAATCATTCTTGCAGGTTGGAAGGGAGGCTTGAGACCACAGGCCATCCTGACACCTACTCATTCATTCATTCATCAAACATGTTTTGAGAGCCATCTGGGTTCTGGGCAGTTTTCCAGGCCCTGGGCTTATAGCAATAAACAAAACAAGATAGATCCTTGCTCCTGTGAGCTTTACTCCTGGGGGCGTGAGGAAATCAGTAAGAAACAAATAAACCACGAAAACCTCTAGGATGTCAAAACAAGGAAGGGAGATAGGATGCGATTCTAAGTGGGAGAAAGGGGTTCTGGAAGGTCTCATGAGAAGATGACATTGACCTGAGGATGTGAGGGGATCCAGCCATGGGGAGAGAATCTACCAGGCAGCAGGAACTGCAAGTACAAGGCCCTGAGGGATCACACAACGGCAGCCCCTGTTTTTCTTTTTCTTTCTTTTTTTTTTTTTTTTTTTGGAGACAGCGTCTTGCTATGTTGCCCAGGCTGGAGTGCAGTGGTGTGATCATAGCTCACTGCAGCCTCAAACTCCTGGGCTCAAGCAATCCTCCCACCTCAGCCTCTGGAGTAGCTTGGACTACAGGTGCACACCACCATGCCTGGCTTTTTTTTTTTAATTTAATTTTTTGTAGAGACAGGAGTCTTGCTATGTTGCCCAGGCTGGTCTCGAACTCCTGGCCTCATGTGATCCTCCCACCTTGGCCTCCCAAAGTGCTGGGATTACTTACAGGCATGAGCCACCATGCCCTGCCCAGCCTCAGCCTTGGTTTTGCCTTCCATTATACATGGGCAGTTGTACCTGCTTTGCAAGGTCAAAGGAGGCGTTGGTGGGCTAAGCTGTGGTTCCCTGTGCAGGAATATTTCACTGCTACATGGAATACTCCCGACTGCGCGGTGAGGCCGGCTCTGACGTCTCCCTGGTGGACCTTGGCTTTCAGACGGATCTCCGGGTATACCTGCACTTACGGCAGACCTGGATGGCCTTCAGTGAGTCGCAGCCCCCCAGCCCTACCCCCCATGGGGCCTTGGAGGGAGAAGGGAGCCCAGGCAGCTCACCCTCTGCCCTTTTCAGTGATCATTCTGAGTATCCTCGAAGTTATTATCATCTTGCTGCTCATCTTCCTCCGGAAGAGAATTCTCATCGCTATTGCACTTATCAAAGAAGCCAGCAGGTGGGGACCAGGGGACGAGGGGACCAGGCTGGGGTCATCCTAGGGCTGTTCCGGCCCTGATGCCTATGTCTCTTCTCCTCCCTAGGGCTGTGGGATATGTCATGTGTTCCATGTTGTACCCACTGGTCACCTTCTTCCTGCTGTGCCTCTGCATTGCCTACTGGGCCTGCACTGCTGTGTATCCACCGCTAGCCAGAAGTCTCTGACCCCAGGGATGGCTAAAGGCCAAACTTGCTCAGAAGTGACCTCCAGCTTGGGGCAGGGCTAGAACCCAGTGGGGGAATGGATTCTTTGGGGTCTCTGGGGTCCCCAGTGTCAGACCTTGGGTTCCTTAACAAGCCTCCAGCTTCCTGTCCACTTCCAACGAAGCGGTCTATAAGATCTTTGATGACGTCGCCTGCCCACTTACTGGGAAAACTTGCAACCCTGAGGTGGGTGTCCCCCAGGGTGGGGAGGGCAGGTATTTGCCCCGGCAGGCCCCAGATGATTTGAAACCTCTCATCCCCACTTGGAGATCATTCACCCAACATTGGCCACCTGCTGTGTGCTCTATGCTGGGTGTGGGGGCCATGGTGGGGAAGAGACCCCATCACAGCATCCAGCAACTTCCCAGGGCTTCCTCTTTTCAACTTGACCCGCCTCCCACCCTGGGCGCTGAACCACCCATCCCCCCACACCGTGACTTCGTTTCCTGCTTCCATACCCTTTTCTTGACCTCCCTGATGGCTGGTTCTTCTTTCCAGAAGCCCTTCCTTTTCATAAGCCCCTATCCTGAACCCCCAATTCCTTCGCTTAACTTATGCCATGAGTCCTGCCTACCCCGTGGTCCTCCAACCCCGGACCTGATGCTCAGAGGCCACTCTGAACTCCTGGTCCCTGTGTTTTGACTTGGCTCCACGTCCCTCCTGTCACAGACTTTCCCTTCCGCCAATGAATCCCGCCAGTGCCCCAACGCCCGCTGCCAGTTCGCCTTCTACGGCGGTGAGTCGGGCTACCACCGGGCGCTGCTGGGCTTGCAGATCTTCAATGCCTTCATGTTCTTCTGGCTTGCCAACTTCGTGCTGGCGCTGGGCCAGGTCACGCTGGCCGGGGCCTTCGCCTCCTACTATTGGGCCCTGCGAAAGCCGGACGACCTGCCCGCCTTCCCGCTCTTCTCTGCCTTTGGCCGGGCGCTCAGGTGGGCTGTGGTTGGCGGGGGATGGGGGACGGAGGAGTCCTGGCCCGACCACTGACCACCCCTTCGGCCCGCAGGTACCACACAGGCTCCCTGGCGTTCGGCGCCCTCATCCTGGCCATCGTGCAGATCATCCGAGTGATTCTCGAGTACCTGGATCAGCGCCTAAAAGGTGAGGCCCGCCCACGGCTGGCATTGGCTCCTGCTGGGGGGCGGGGCTGAGTGGCAAGCCCGCATTGGTTCTTGCTTGGGGTGGGCGGGGCCAAGATGGTGGGGCGGTGATTGGTTGCTGCATGGGGGGAAGGGGTGAAGCTGAGGGGCTTGTGATTGCGGTCATTGGTTGCTGTGATTGGGGAGCAGCTTTGAGAGCCCACTAGGCGGAAGTCTTACTGTGGAGGGGGCGGGTCCAAGAGCCCTGGCCCACCATTAGGCGGGGCCGTGGCAGTCCTGATTGGTTCCTGCTGTGGGGGTGGGGCTGAGTCCTGGGCCGGGTTGGTTCCTACTTAGAGACGGGACAGAGAACCCCAAGGGTCCTGGTTCAAGTCTCCTTTCCCTGTTTGAGGGCATGGGCTATGGGGGTCCCTACGAAGCTAAGCCAGGTCTCCCCTCACCTCTGCATTCCTTCCCTTCTCTTCCAGCTGCGGAGAACAAATTCGCCAAGTTTCTCATGACCTGTCTGAAATGCTGCTTCTGGTGCCTGGAGAAATTCATCAAATTCCTTAACAGGAATGCCTACATCATGGTCAGTGGGCCTGGGACCCCGAACCAACCCACCAGCTCCTGCTGGGTGGGAAGAGCCCCCATCCCCACCCAGGGGACCTGATCCCTCCCTCCCGCCCCCTTCCAGATTGCCATCTATGGCACCAACTTCTGCACCTCGGCCAGGAACGCCTTCTTCCTGCTCATGAGAAATATTATCAGGTTAGGGACGCCACCTTCCTCCCACCGCCTTCCTCCTCCTCTCCTAGTCCCTGATCCAGCATTCATACCTGCCCCTTACCGTCCCCTGCAGAGTGGCCGTCCTGGACAAAGTCACGGACTTCCTCTTCCTGTTGGGCAAACTTCTCATCGTGGGTAGTGTGGGTGAGTGGCGCCCACCCAGCCTGTCGGGGCTCTGTGATGAGTGTTACTTTCTTAGGGGGCTGTTTCCTTTAGCCAGAACCCTCAACCATCTCCATTTCCTCTTCCTTTCCAGGGATCCTGGCTTTCTTTTTCTTCACACACCGAATCAGGATTGTGCAGGATACGGCACCTCCTCTCAATTACTACTGGGTCCCTATACTGGTATGGACCTATGGGGACAGACAGCCGTCTGGGGAGAAGGAAGTGTTGGGACTTGCTTGGTCTTCTTTGACTGGACAGATGTGGATGGGGGTCAGAGGTGGGGGATTGCTTATTTATTCAGTCCACAAACATTTATTGAGTACCTACTGTGTTCCAGGCACTGAAGTGGGGGCTTCCCTCTAGAAGTTTTTAGGGGTAAACATTCATCAATGATGATATTGGTGAATGTATGGCTTCAAACTGGGACATGCTGCTGGTATATCCATACTGTACAGGGAACTGTCAGAGCCTTTATTGGAGGATCTGGGCAGATCTGAAGGGATCCAAGTAGCATCACCATGCAAGTGATGTTGGATCTTAGATCTGAAGATATAGGCATTATCCAGGCAGAGGGGACAGCTAGTACGGTGGCCCTGAGGTGGGACCGTGCCAGAAACAGTAAGGACACCAGCGGAGGTGATGTGGAGGTTAAGGTTAAGGAGGTAACAGGACTGTGGAAGAGTTGGGTCTTCATCCCAAGGGCAGGGCTTGGAGCCCAGTGACCTAGATTCTTAATCTTGGTTTCTAAGCTTCTCTGTTTGCTAATTCTAAGATGAGGAACTTTGGGCAGGTTATTTAATCTCTCTAATAGTCAACAAATGTTTATCAAGCAGCTAGCACGGCTCTGGGAGTCTCCAAATTGCTAGGGATATAGCTGTAAATGGGACAGACACAGTCTAGTGGGGGTGTGGGCATTAAACCTACAAAGCCCTAAACATACATGACGTTGCTGCTAGATGAAGGCCTCAGGAGGGGTGTGCAGTGCTAGGAGGACACGAACCAGGGTCTAGATGTCACAGGTGGCTTCCTGGAGGAGGTGGGACCTGAGGACTTGCTGTTTGAGCTGAATGCAGGACAGTGAGGTGTAAACTAGACTTGAATCAGGATAGCAGTGCGTGCAAAGGCCCTGGGGTTGAAGAAAGCAAGGGGTGTTGTATGGATGGCAGGCCCCTATCAGCAGTAGTGAGGAGTTAGGATATGGTTATTCTAAAGCAGACTTCTCAGCAGGGGAGGGACATAGTGGGTGGGGGCTGCTCTGGGCGGGAACTAAGGCAGGAACAGTACATCTCTTCTCTCCCAGACGGTGATCGTTGGCTCCTACCTGATTGCCCATGGCTTCTTCAGCGTCTACGGCATGTGTGTGGACACACTGTTCCTCTGCTTCTGTGAGTGACCCCTCACCCCAACCCTTGCCGGGCCCTGAGTCCCTTCACCCCACTGGGCATAACATCTCCCGCCAATGGGGCCACACGGTCACCTACCCAGTGCCCCCAGCTTCCCTGGGGACTAACTGTCCTTTGTCCTAGGGCCCCAGCATGCCTTCTTAGCTTCCCCGCTGTGCTCGGAGCGGCTCCACCCTCTCATCCACCCTCCGGGCTGCAGCTGGAACACTCTGCCCTTGGTGGCTTCGGAGTCTCTGGCTTTGTTGGGGGGATCTGTGGCTGCCACTAACTCTGGTCTCTCGTCTGTTTTTTTTGTTTTGTTTCTTCTTTTCTCTTCCTCTCCTCCATGCCTGCTGGCTTCCCTGTTCCTCCCCTGCCTCCTTCCCTTCCCTTCCTGACCACCCCCCCATTTTCCCCCTGCCGGTTCCTGGGGGGAGCCCAGGTGAGGACCTGGAAAGGAATGACGGCTCTCAGGAGCGACCCTACTTCATGTCGCCCGAGCTGAGAGACATCCTGTTGAAGGGGAGTGCGGAGGAGGGGAAGCGGGAGGAAGTCGAGGAGTAGAGAGTCAGGGGGGCTGGCTTGGGGGCCAGGTGTCCTCCCTGTAGACTGGGGGTGCATGCAGGGGGGCCTTCCTTGCCTGGGAGCGTGGGGCTCGTGTGTGTCCCTCGGAGCCCGCTACAGTCCGGCCCTCTCTGGTCCTAGTGTGTCTTGCTTCCTAACCCTCTGAGGCTTCTCGGTGGCCCTCGTTCACCCACCCCATCCCTGGAGGCCCCTGCCCGCGGGCTTCCCTCACGCCTCCCGCTCTGGGGCCCTCTCTCCGCAGTGGAGGATCTGGAGAGGAACGACGGCTCGGCCGAGCGGCCTTACTTCATGTCTTCCACTCTCAAGAAGCTCTTGAACAAGACCAACAAGAAGCTCGCGGAGTCCTAAAGGCCCCGCCGTCCCCCGCTTCTTGGGGACCCTCACACCGGGTGCTCTGCAGCTGGGTCAGTCCCCGCAGTCCCTGGGGCTTTCCCGAAGTCCTGTCACTGCCGCTCTGCCCCCTTCCTCATTAACCAGTTACCACCAGTTTCCAGGGACCTGGAGGATTCGGGGCACCTCCTCCCTATCTGTGCCAAGGGGCACTCAGAGTTTTCACGATGGCCGCCCCCTCAAGACCGCAAAGTCAGTCTCTCCGGCCCCTCCTTGGCTTGGATGGAGAAAAATCTGGTTGCGTCTCTTGATGCCTGGGTGGCGGTGTGGCCGGACCTCCGCAAGCTCCCTTATGTTCCCTGTCACTCTCTTAATGACAACGGGACAGACAACAGGAAGGACGGTGTTTGTGTCTGAGTGAACTCCAGCTCCAAACCCTCCCGGTCACCGCTGCCTGCTCCTGCCAGGACTGAACCCCTCCTCCATGGCTGAACAGTTGACTCAAGGGCCGCCAGAAGCATTTCTTTCTTCTCCTTTTTTTTAACCTGGACGTGCATTAAAGGGTCTATTAGCTTTTTTTCCATCTGTCTCAACCAGCTGAGATGGGGCTGCCAAGGAGTGCCTTCCTTTGTCCCCTCCCCGCCGGGCGTGGCTGGGGTGGGAGTGTGTGTACCCAGGTGGGGGTGGCTCCTGGCTAGGGGTGGGATGTTGACGGGAGGAGAGGGAGGGAGGGAGACAGACTCTTGGGGGACGGTGAGGAGCAGGCCTGGGTGGCCAGGTCTGAGCCGGCTGGAGGACATTGCTAATAAGCCAGCGCTTAATGGAAACCACCTGGCCGCCTGGCGGGGTTGGGCTGAATTTCTCCCCCTTCCCCCGCCAGTTATTGACACAGCTCTCTTTGTAAGAGAGCAAAGAAACCGAATCCACCCGAGGGATGATTTCGGGGGGAGCGGTGGGGGCAAACCAGGCCCCTCTGCCCACATACTTCACCTCGAGCACCCTTTTGCCAAACTTGTCGAACTCAGGGGACCTGGTTTCTCGGTTCCCCCTTTGCCATATTCCAAGCCCCCCTCCTCACCCCCGACTTCACGTCTCTGCTCATTAGACTGTCCCAGGATCCCGGAGAGGGAGAACCCCCAGCCTGGGGCCTCTGGTGTCCTGTGCCCGCGCCAGCCCTGCCTGCCATCCTGTCCGCACACCCCTGCGTGTAACTGCATTCCAACCACGAATAAAGTGCCTATTGTACAGGTCCAGGCCTGGTGTGTTTGTAGGGGGGAGTGGGCGGCTGGTAGGGGGAACCCCAGCTTCCAGTGCCCTGGGAGTCTCTGAGCTGGGGCGATTCTCCCAAGGGGAAGAAAGAGGGGCAGGAAACCCGAGGTCTGCTGGCTGCTGTCTCCATTTGAATTCCAGCATTCAAGTGGCTCAGGTTCCTCCTGAAGATTCCTGCTGAACAAATGCCCCTGAGTAGGCTCTGATGCCTGGAGTCCAGAAGGCAGCGGTGGCCGGCCCACTTCCTTGGTCACACCCCAAGCATCTGAGGCCCCACTGTCTAGCCCAGCAGCTTCAGGGCTGCCCCCTGGTGCCAGCTGTCTGTAACTACCTCTCCCCACCCTCCCCTCAGAAATTTTTTCTTAAATGGCAACTATTTTTTGGCCATGGCAATGGCTCACACCTGTAATCCCAACACTTTGAGAGGTGGAGAAGGGAAGATCGCTTGAGGCCAGGAGTTTGAGACCAACCTGGGCAACATAGCGAGACCCCCGCCTCTACAAAATTTATTTTTAATTAGCCAAGCGTGGTGGTGCACGTGTCTGTAGTCCCAGCTATTGGGGGGGGCGGGGAGGCTGAGGCAAGAGGATCGCTTGAGCTCAGGAGTCAGAGGCTGCAGTGGACGACGAATGCACCACTGCACTCCAGCCTGGATAGGACTATGTCTCAAAAAGGAAAAAAAAACAGCCACAATTTCTTGAGCATTTTCTTGCACACAATCCCCCACTTCTGTTGACTCTCCTTGTTTTATCAAGGATGAAATGAAGGGGGGGGTTGGTGACAAGTCTAAAGGGGCCCAGAAAGCATTTAGACTCAGGCCTCCTCAGCCTCTACCCTGTACTGGTACTGACTGCTTTCTCAATGTTCTTGTTCCTCTGGGTCCTTCGAGTCTGGTGTTTTCCTTAACCCCAGCTTCTGTTAACCCCACCGACCTCCAAAATAGCTCCTAAACTCACACACTTCTCTCCACGTTTTCAGTTCCCAGTCCCCATTGTCATTCAGCTGGATCAGTGCAGTCCTGCCACCCTGGTTCCCAGCTCCTGTCTCCCTCCAGATACACACTGTTCCCCTCGACAAGGGCAGGAAGGCACCTGCGAACTCTTGCATGAGGACGTTCTCTGCTCAAGAACCCTCCAAGGCTCCCACCTTACTCAGGGCAAAAGTGAAGTCCTCCTGCAGCCCACCAGCCCCCATCTTCCCCATTACCTCCCCACCCTCTTCTCCTCCTTCTGTTCCCCTTACACCCTCCACTCGCTCCAGCCACCCAGACCTCAGGACTTGTGCCTGAAGTACTCTCCACTGGCCTCTTTGTGTGGCTAGCTTCTCATCCTTCCACTCTCAGCTTGGGGATCACCTCCTCCAGGAAGCCCTCCCTGTTCATCTAAAGTTTCCTCTCTAGGTGACCACTGTCGCCCTGTTTATTTTCTTCCTAGCACTTTCCACAGCCTGTAATTATATAATGGCCGGGTGAGGTGGCTCACGCCTGTCATCCTAGCACTCTGGGAGGCTGAGGCGGGAGGATCGATTGAGGTCAGGAGTTCAAGGTTGCAGTGAGCTCTGATGATACCACTGCACTCTAGCCGGGGGGACAGAGCAAAACTCTGTCTCAAAAAAAGAAAGTGTTCAGATTTTGGATATGATTTGAAGATGGAGCCGACGTGACTGATTCCGTGCTGAATGTGAGAGGAACCAAAGACCCCAGGGGAATGCGGGCTGGGAGAGGTTAAAGCCAAGCAAGGGAGCAATGTCAGACAATGTCCTGTAGAGGGCGCCCATCGCCTGATCCTGTCCTGAGCACGGGAGCCGGAGTTAGGTTTGGAGTCATCCTGCCCCAGTAAGTCATTGGCGAAAGGGCTGCCACTGAGGAACGTAAACTCATGGGCACTTCTGATTCTCTGAGTGTGTAGGAAAAGTTGCATTGGCAACATGGCCCCGAGCCTAAGGAAAGTCCGCTGTAGAAGAGTTGCAGGTACCCGCTGTTGGCAGCAAAAGCACAAAAAGCCCTGGCAAGGGTGCAAAGAAACAGTAAAAAAGGATCCACAGGGATCTTGGCTGACAGTGTCCACTCCATGTAGGTTTATTTTGGACCTGCTGAATACATCTCCCAGTGAAATTATCAAATAGATGGCTTGGATGTGCATGTCTGTACTTCAGGGGAGAATTCCAGCCTGGAGGCATACAATCAGGATTGTTCAGCTTTTAAAAAATTTCTTTTGTAGAGACAAGGTCTTGCTCTGTCACCCAGGCTAGAGTGCAGTGGCGTCATCATAGCTCACTGCAGCCTGAAACTTCCGGATTCCAGCAATCCTTCCGGTTTAGCCTCCCTAGTAGCTGGAACTACAGGTGCATACCACCACATCTGGATGATTTTAAAATTTTTAACTTTTTCACTTTACTGCTCAGGCTGGTCTTGAACTCCTGGCCTAAAATGATCCTCCCACCTCAGCCTCCCAATGTTTTGGGATTACAGGAAAAACTGTGCCCCACCTGCATTTAATTTTTTTTTTTAAATGATGAGTTAAGGGAAAAGGGGAATTCCCTTTTGGCTCAGCCATCCGTGAGACATTGTACTGACTTGGGCACCGTGGGGGGCGGATGTGGCAGATGACTGATTTACTCCACTTTGATCACTGTAAAACAAGCACTGTTTATGTAATGAATACACAGGCAGGAACAAGAATTGTGTTCCCTGGTCCCAGAATTGACCCTCTAGCCAGGGAGACAAAAAATAAACAACTAAACATATAATAGAACCAGGCACAGTGCCTCATGCCTATAATCCCAGCACTTTGGGAGGCTGAGGTGGGAGGATCGCTTGGCCAGGAGTTCAGGACCAGTCTGGGTAACATAGCAAGACCCTGTCTCTATAAAAAATAAAATAAATTAGCCGAGTTTGGTGATGCACACCTGTAATCCCAGCTACTCAGGAGGCTCAGGCAGGAGGATCGCTTGAGACTCGGAGTTTGAGGTTGCAGTGAGCTATGATTGTGCCACTGCACTCCAGCCTGGACAACAGAATGAGACCCGGTCTCAAATATAAATAAATAAATAATAGGTGGTGACAAACATTTTCAAGAAAAACAAAGCAGGGTAATCATTATAACCATGACTGTTTTCCAAGCTCTTACTCCATGCTGGGAACTCAAGCAACTCTCTAAATCAGTCCTGGGCTCCTCCATGGAGGAGATTTTGGTTTGATCCAAATTCTGTACTTGGCATCATGCTCCTAACCTGCCCTTTCCTGTGTTTGGGGCCCCTTTGACTGGAACTGCCACAACCTTGGGCCCTCCTGAGAAGGGCCTCTGGACTTGGAGACGGAAAACTAGAAACTCTCCTTGTTTTGCCACTTGGTAGCGCTGTTAGCTTAGGCAACTCATGCGGCCACTGAGCCTGTTCCCTCTCGTGTCTAACAGGCGTTGTTCGTCTCTGCGTTAGGGGTTCCAATAAGGTCAGTATGCTTAAAGCCAGTTTAGGCTGTGTTATCACCAACTACCACCATCACAATGACTCTGAACAGTCTAAACTTAATCAGTTTTGTCTCTATACATGCCCATTCATTTTACCACAATTTTCTTCAATCTCAAGCTCTATTTGTGAGACAGTTCTCTGAGGCGCAGAAAGTGAACAACAAAACAAATACCAAAGCCAGATGCAGAATAAAACATCTATTTATGTGAAAAGCAGCAATAAAAATACAATTATGCATCTCGATAACACAAAAAAACTTTACCATGGCTGCCAAGAGGGAGGGGAACCGGGTGTCTGAGGGAAGAAGATTGATTTCATTCTCTCATAGTCTTTTGCACATTTGACACTTTATAGCACGTTAAAATATTACCTATTAAAAATCCTACGTAAAATGTAAATAAAATAGAAGAGCAGTAGGGGCAGCACCCACCTATTTCTGTAATCGTATTTTACACCTTACCTTCTCTATAACAGCTATCAGTTTGGGCGCATTTGTTACGCAAAAAGAATTGTGCCAAATGCTTTATAAAAAGAATAAATCATGACTCTTTCGGAGACGGGGAAACGGAGGCTCAGGGAGGTGCACTGTCATTGATCATACAGGACTCAAACCTAGGCAGGCACTGGATCCTGTATCTTTTTATGTGTTGCATCGTCCCTAAGTTTTTGCAAAGAAGACCCGTTATTAAGCTGTATATCTTGAACTTCTCCCCATTTTCAAGAACTCCTTGCTCCTCTTGCTCCAAATCCCTGCAACGCGGGCATCTGCCAACCTGTCTAGCAACTATGCCTGTTGAGCGCCAGCCTGACCCTGGAAGAGAGCGGGGCTTAGCTTAAGCACAGACTGTACATCTGGGACCTCTCAAGGTGCCTGGGAGGATTCAACGACACTACGCTCCTAAGGAGAAGGAATTTGGTCACTGGTGCCTTTATTTATGACTCCCGGAGTTGTTTGTCGCCGAGCGCCGTGAGTCGCAGCCCCGGATCTCCCATGAGCCCTCTGGTGAGATCTCTTTCTTGCCTAGCTCTCAGTTTATCTATCTGTCAAAGGGAAGAGTTGGCGGGAGGATCCCGACCAAGTCGGCGCTACACCAAGTAAGGTCTGCAGGACCAAAGAAGCGGAGCGCTCCCAGGCTCGAGGGGCAGCAACAGGAGCTGGGATTCGCCCCTCCTCGCACACACCTCTAGCCTTCTTCACCTCCCGCGGGAGATGCGAGCACTGTGCTGACCTCCGCTGGAGGCCGAACATCCCAGATCGCGCTACG